AGAGAAGAGAAGAGAAGAGAAGAGAAGAGAAGAGAAGAGAAGAGAAGAGAAGTAAAGAGACACAGAGGGGAGAGGAGAGAGAGGAGAGACAGAGGGGAGGAAGAGAGAGAGAGAGAAAAAAAGAGAAGAGAAGAGAGAGGAGAGAGAAAGAGAGAGGGAGGAGAGACAGAGAGAGAAGAGAGACAGAGGGGAGGAAGAGAGAGACAGACAGAGACAGAGGAGAGACAGAGAGAGACAAAGGAGAGAGACAGACAGACAGAGGAGAGAGAGAGAGAGAAAAGAAGAGAAGAGAAGAGAGAGAGAAAAAGAAACAGAGAGAGAGAGAACAGTCATGTGACCAAATAAGGTACGAGAAAGGAAGAATTCCAGAGGACACACTAGCATCAGAATCTATCTGGCAGATAGAGCCACCCGAGGCCCAGCTAGACTAGCCAGGCTTCCTTACTCAGTGGAATACTCATGAGCTATCCAGTGTCTCCTCTTGCCCTCAGCTGAGCTGTCCTTTCTCCCAGAAGTCACCCAGGGGTCCTGAGTGGAGTCCTACCCTGAGTCCAAGAATTCCCTTCCCTGGTTCTTGGCCAGCTGGGTGAGGAAGGCTCTCTCCTATCTTACCCCTAGATCCTTCCCCTAGACTTGAGACTGCCCTTAAAGACCCTGAAAAAATAATTATCTTACATAAGCAAAAAACTATGAAACCCGAGTATCAATTAAAGGATCTTATAGCTAAATGTGTAGAAGTGAATATCACATATAAAAACCAAATTAATAGATATTTATTGAGAACCTACTTTGTTACAAGACCCTGTATTTGTGTTTAGTGGATATAATGATGAAGTAAACCCATTTCTTGGCCTCATGAAATTTACTGTCTAGTAGAAGAACCAAGACAAAAATGTAGTCAAGAAGTTTTTGCCACAGTATTGAATATGGCTGCAAGGAAACAGGATAAGGGCTGATAGCACCACCTTTCATGGGTTGCTAAGTTAAACACTTGGATAATTTTCTTGGCCCTGGTGCTGGGTTCCAGGTGCATAATGGAAGCTGAAGGGAATTAATTTACCTCCTTTGCCTTCTGGGAGGTCTCAGTCATTCCAGTCCCTGGAAATCCTAGCCTGTCCCCTGGCCCATTTCTCCCTGGCCCATCTGATTTGCCTGAAACAGTTTCACTGTACAGCTATGAAGACCAAATCTAACTTTTGGGGAGCAAAGGTATGAAGGCAGAAAATAGTAATAATAATATCAATAATTATCATAAATAACTAGTATTTACATGGCTCTTTAAAGTTTGCAAAGGATTTTACAAATATTATCTTAGCAGATTGCTTACAGTCTCAGGGAGGAGGGAGGGGAAGGAAGGAAGGAGGACTGGGCTGCTTCCCACCAGAATCTGGAACTCAAAACTTTAAAAATAAATGTTTAAAAATTGTTTTAACATATAACTGGGGGAAAATATTATATAAGAAAACAAATATTACCTCATTTTATCCTTTCAACAACTCAGGGAGATAGGTACTGCTATTATCTGCATTAAATATGAAGAAACTGATGTGAATAGAAGTTAAATGACTTGCCCAGGGTCACACAGCTAAAATGTTGGAACCTAGATTTGAACTTAGGGCTTCCTAAGTCTAGATCCAGCATTCCACCCTCTGTGCCACCTACCAAAGATTAGTAAAGATTCCCCTTAAACTCAAGTATGGACTTTATGTGTGGAATAAAACTGGAAAGGAGAAAGGGCCAAATTGTAAAAGCCTTGAATGACTGGCTAAATACGTTGTACTTCAGCCCATCCTATACATGATGGACAACCTCTGAGGCCTTTGATCAGGGGAGTGATGCTAAAAAGACCATGCATAAGCAATAATTACTTCAGCAGAGTTTAAAGAATGTTTTGGAGAAGAGACAGATTGGGGGGGTGGCATTTAGTCCAAGAAAGTTCATCCATATGGGTATATGGTGAGATGGTCATAGGGCTATAGTTTTAAAATTAGAAGAGATCCTAGAAGGCATCATTTTACAGATGAGGAAATTGAGAAAGGAAACTTTCCCACATGCCCAAGGTCAAAGCTTCCTTGCTCTGCTACACTACATAGCCTCTTTTGTCAGAGGAAAGACTTAGCTTAGGTCCCATAAACTTATCCTCTCATCAAAAGCCTATATTCTGGGGGCAGCTAGGTGGCACGGTGGATAGAGCACCGGCCCTGAAGTCAGCAGGACCTGAGTTCAAATCCAGCCTCAGACCAAACACTGTGTGACCCTGGGCAAGTCACTTAACCCCCCAATAGCCTAAAATAAATAGATAAATAAATTTTAAAAAGCCTATATTCTAGCTTAGCTTCAGCTTTCTTCAACTTCCTGGTCTTATTAGCAGTCTCTTGCTACTCTCATCCCTAGGAAGAAGACATCAGAACATAGGATTTAGGGGGCGGGGCCCTTAGAGATCATCAAGTCCAGGGCCTCCCCCATATACATGAGAAAACAGACTGAGAATGCTAAAGTGATTTGCCCGCTATCATAGATTATAGCAATATCACTACTAGGTCTGTATTCTAAAGAGATCATAAAAAAGGGAAAAGGACCCGCATGTACAAAAATATTTAGAGAAGCTCTTTTTGTGTTGGCAAAGAATTGGAAATTGAGGGAATGCCCATCCGTTGGGGAATGGCTGGACAAGTTGTGGCATATGAACGTAATGGAATACTATTGTACCATAAGAAATGATGAGCAAGCAGACTTCAGAAAAACCTGGAAAGATCTACATGAGCTGATGCTGAGTGAGATAGAGACAGAGACAGAGAGAGAAAGAGAGAGAGAGGGAGAGGGAGAGAGAGAGAGACTATATGCCAGGCACTGTGCTAAGTGTTAAGGCTACAAACATAATCAAAAAAAGATAATCTCTACCTTCAAAGAGCCTATATTCTAAAATGCAAGGAAGTGCACAGAGGGGAACTGGAAAGGGGACAGGGGGATACCTTTTGGGTGTTGGGGCAGAGGGAAGGCTACTGGAGCGAAGGTGAAGTCCAGAGAGTGAGGGGTAGAGCTGAGAGTGAAATGGGCATGACCTGGGTGCTTGATGAAATGTTGCTGTTGGCAGGAGACTCACCAATCAATCAGAAGAGAGGGCAGCAGGGTGGAGGTATCCCTAGGGAGAGGCAAAAGCCCAGAAAGTGAAAGTTTTGTATGACCTTGTGCTTGACTTGCCTTCTCCAGGTCAGGGTTTCTTAATTTATAAAATCAAATTCTCTTCTCTGATTCTTGAGCTCCCAGGGGAAGGCTGCTTTGAGTCAGGATGTCCTATTTGCCTTCCTGTCCCATCAATCAAACCGTTTTGGCTGTAGCACCAGATATTCACTGGGTATATTTGCATTTTACAAACAACTCCTGGTACCTCTGACTACAACTCTTTTTTTAAACTTTTTGATCTCATACTAATGCCTTGTCACAAACAACTCCATCTTCCTGACTGGGTTGCTTCCCACCAATCCACAATTATCGTATCTTATAGCAGTCTTCAGCCAAAGAGAACTCACAGTGAAGAAATGGGAGAATGACTGGATCCAGAGCCAGAGAACCTGGATTCAAATCCGGTGTCTGATCCTTACTACCTCTGTGACCTTGAGGAAGTCTCTTGCCTTCTCATTTCCTCTGGTCCTGCCTCAGTAAAATGAGTAGGGCTGGTCAAAAGCAGGGCTTCTTAAACTTTTTCCACTTATGACCCTTTTTGGGGTAGTTCGCTGGCTTTGCGTGGTCTGAGGGCATGCACAGTGCAAAGTTTGCATGCTTTGTGTTCGGAACCAAGGCTACAGTGAAGTTGTGCGATGCAACATGTTCAAATGCTGCCAAAAACACTTTGGATTCATTATGCATTTGATTTTTAATTAATTTTTGGTCATTACACATTCGGAAACCTTTTATTGTTGCCAAAATGTTTGCAACCCTATAGGGGGTTGCAGCCCACAGTTTAAGAAGCAGTGGTCTAAAGGATATCTAAATGGTCTCCAGTAGAAGGAATCACTGATGAGTTTATGAGTTCCCCTAAAACCTGGGAGGAGAGGAACTCATTGTCTGTCTGTCACCCACTAGCAGGTCAATGATCTTTCCCAGGCACAAACCCTACCGATAACGAAGA